GGAGGGGGCTCTGCCCCGGGGTGAACTCATCAGCGACGACGTCCTAGCCAGCATCACCAACAACAGCTTCGAGGAGATCATGGACGCAGTCAGAAACGAGCAGCACTACGGCAACAAAACCTCTGAGGACGTCATGCGCTGCATCCCCCGAGGCCTGATTTTGTACCCATTGAAGACAGGATGGCTATCTTGCCGCCATTGCAGACGAGGTAACAAATTCCTCGAATTTCCCAATGACATTGGGGTGCTTCATCATTTTGCGCACGGAGGAGCCCATAATCCAGCCGAGACGCCCCTGCCCCTCCAGCTCCTACTCAGGATGCGCCTCCCCCCTCGGTTCCCTCCTCCAGTGTGGCCAAAGCACGCTTTGCACTTGGCATGCCTCCGCTTCCACCTGGTCATGCACCTCCACCGGAGCCTCGGGCTTCCACTTCTCACACCGCGGAGCCTCGGGCTACCACTACACAACCACTCCCTCCACTCCCAAATCCAAGGCTCCACCCCCTCAGGTCAGCTCGCAGCCCCCAACGGACTCGCTCTATTCTCCCTCCTCCCCGGCCTCGCCCATTGACCCGCCTCCACGTCAGCGCAAGTTCGATGCCTTCTCGTCTGCAGAGGAGACGAAGCCGACTGGGCCAGCTATGTCTGAGGACTCCGACTCGGATTCCAGCGATGGCCCGCCGCCCTGGGAACAACCGGTGGAAGTCGACACCATGGCAGGGGTCAAGTATCAGGGCCCGGTCACTATTCATGCGATGGTCGATCCAGTCCCGGGGCCTTCTTTCGAGGACCAGGAAAATGCGCCAATCGGACGAGATGTTCACCTGGGTCCATGCCTTGGCCACTATTCTTGTTATCAACGAGAAGGCCGTCCTTGGTGGCCTTAAGGTGTCTGAGCAGCTCAAGGTTTGGCAGGACAGGATACGCATTCTCAAAAAGCCGCCCTGGATTTTTGCCCCGCTGAACTTGTGCAAGACGAATGCTAATACGACCTGCGCAGAGGCAATGACAGCTCGTCCTGTTATGGGAACCGACGGGCTCCTTACAATTGCCCTTGGAGAAGGTTCGGACTATCGCGTGCTTCCGAAGATTACATCCTATTTTGGCATCCTTGCAGCTTTGTTCAAAAAGCTATGGGACCAAGCAGAGATGCACGAAACCTTGGAAACGGAAGACAATTTCGAGATTGTAGCCTCCACCGTCAAGGCCATCTACGATCAAACGTGCAGATCGTGCGGGCTTATCAACAGGCTCATCATCTACATGCAGAAAGATGGAGAGCAAGTTCGGAAGATGCGCATAGATCACGTGGTTGGAGACACTCCGGCAAAGCTGAAGTTGCTTCGTCCCAAGCTTGTGGACAAGCGTCAATCCGAGGATCAAGGTCCTGTCTCGGACAAGAGGCAGAAAGAAGACAATGCCAATGCCCGCCAGCAATGGGACGACAACTCGTGGTGGCGCTCTACGGACTGGCACTCCTCGTCCAGCTCGTGGCGATGGAACAGGTAGTCTCCTCTAGCTGGATCCGCGGGGCCTTGGGCCGTCTTCTGCAAACCCGGTGGCTCGGCCAACTCCTTTTAGCCGCCGTGGGCAGCTTTCTTCCTTTGCACATAGCTTGCACAGCTGCACTGGAAAAGTGTTGGCCATTTGCATTACCAGTTAGCCAGTGCGCCACTTCAGGTCGTCCCTCGACCATACGCCAAGCTGTCACAGGTACGCAGTGAACATGTGAGCTGCCAGCAGCTGTACATAGCGACTGAGCCTTTGTACCAAAGTCTGAGCGGCTTAGTTTTCGAAGTTCATGTCCTCCTCTCAGTCCTGTCTTGCTGTCTTGCTTTCTGTTTCACTGTCTGAAAGTCCTAGCTTAGAGAGTGCCAGAGCGGCAAATGCCCGCGATGTGCAGAGTACGCTCGCACGGCGTCCAATTGCAAAAAAATTGTTGTTGTTGTTGTTGTTGTTGTTGTTGGTGTTGGTGTTGGTGTTGGTGTTGGTGTTGGTGTTGTTGTTGTTGTTGTAAGAAAACCAAAGTTGACGCGGTGTGAAAGGGAACGGCATTGAGGCTCAGGGTGATTACCAACGTTTTTGGTTAGGTTCTTCCAACGGTGTTGCTTGTGCTCGCCGTTGTTGGTCTGGCTCAGGCGGACGGCGTGGGCATGACGTGCGCAGTGATGTATGGACTTGTCATTCCGGGGCTGCTGCTTTACCTGATCCTCAAGCAGCACAGGGCCTTGGAGCCCAGCAGGCAGCATGGTTTGAAGGTTTCAGCTCCAGGGCCGTGCCTAAGAAAGACAGAAAGACAAGTTCCAGGAGCCAGGGCCGGCATGCAAGGGTAAGTATCGTAAGACATCATGGTAAGCTATAGGGTGAACCTTGTGATCTGCATCTAAGATTTCATGGAATCAGCTGCTGCATCTGTCAGGCGCTTCGTCGGACACGCAGAGGAGAAAGGTGATTTGGTGAAGGTGAGGGTGGAGCCCTTGTGGCGAACGGGGGCGGAGCTTGCAGAGGACGGGACCCTGATTCGTGTGCGCTTGGATTAATTACCGCCAAAGCGAGGGCTTCTCGGGGCAAACAGGCCCTGGCTCCTTCAACAATTCTTCTGTCAGGTAGCCTGAGGCTCAAGACACCGTCCTAGCCAGAGCCGGAAACCGCCTAAATGTACCAAGAAGCCTTCTAACCCCCATGAACCCGCTGGGAGCTGCTTGGAAGCCTGGCAGGAGCAGGAGTCATCGAAGCATCTCATGGCTGCGGCTGCGGCACATTGTGTGCTCTTTTCAGGGCGTGTGCGCCTGCAGCTTCAGAAGAGCCAGGTGCGCCTGAGCTGAAGTCATGATGGTCGGGTATTCGCTACCGGGACCGATCGTCCTGGATTCATCGTCAAGGGCTCGGTGGAAAGACCATGAGGGATTAAAGTATGGTATGTTTGGATGATCTTTTGACTTAGTACAGTCTAAGTACTGTCGGCAATAGCCCCGATTGTAGCCCAATAACCCCTGTAACTAAGTGAAGAGTGCGAGAACAGTAGGAGCGCTGGGAGCCAGCAGCTGTCGCCCCTGCACTTCCTCGATCGTCTGCCTCAGCTGAGGATCCTCCAATCAGTAGAGTCAAAGAGGGAGCAGGACAACGCAGTCTTCGATGTGGCTTCCATGCATCAAAGCAACTAGGGTGACAGGTACACGGAGGTATCCCCTCCCTCCCTTCCCTTGGTCATGAATACTTCCGAAAGGGTATAATATACCATTCTGTGCACATTTATAGTTCATTGGGTCGTGTGAGTATACTCCTAGGGGAGTGGATTAGTCTCGATCCTGAGAGCAAGGTGACCTCGGCAACCTTGGACGCCGCCTTTGGAGGTACGAGGGATGCAGACATGCGGCGCTGCCAGTCGATGACAAGGCCCCATGTTTGCACAATCAGCTAGAGGGATTGCCCATCGCGCTTTGCCGGGACTTGTGTAACGCCAGCTGCAGAATGAGGCTCTTCCCACAAGGCCAACCGTAGACGTGATCCTTCCGTTCCGTTTTCCTGACCGGATGGAGCTATGCACGGAAGACCGAGGTCTAGGGCAGCACATTTTGGACTTGCGTGGAAGGTCCCACTCTTTGTCTGATACTGCCATCTTCGGCATCAGCCAAAGCTGCATGACAGGATGTTGACGGAACGCTGCGTCCTGAAAGAAGTAGCTCATTCGGACAGATGCCTGGCAGCACAAGGAGTTTCAATTTCGGGACTGCTGATGGCGGCGTTTATGAACTTGCTTTCCATCAATAAACCCTACACCCTAAACGTACCGTAAGCCCTAAATATGAACTTGCGTTTCCATCATGAAGGGAACAGACACCCCTAAACCCTAAACCCTAAACCTGACATTGAAGTTGTTGAAGTTGTTGTATTGTGCACCAGGCTGTTCTTCTGTGAGCTCAGGCCTCCTGACCCGTGGCTGCTTCAATTCTCTTTGGAATGCAAGACCCCCGCATCACTTGTTTTAGAGTTTAGGGGTTTAGGGTTTAAGGTTTAGGGTTTAGGGTTCATTACAATTAACACGGTTACGATGATGTTGAAGATGATGATAGCTATCAGAAGCCAAGTAGAAAGCTATGATATTACGCAGTAGTTCCCAATCTCTTTCCCATGAATATAACCATCCGAGGAGTTCTGGCCGGGGCTAAGGAGCTGCTGTTCAAATATGCTGCGTGGCTGCTCGAGACACTGCGAGTTTCGAGTCAGTAAGACCACCGGACCCCAAACCTTTAGACATCATGCAGCTCAGCCGTAGTAAATCCCCTCCCCCTAATATTGAATATTCCTAAGATACTATACTATATCACAAGGAGAATATTTAATGTTAGGAGGGGGAAGTTATTATAAGGAGGGGATTACATAATCTGAAGGCATAGAATGTCTCTATGCAGGTGAGAATCCGGACACTTTTGGGAGGGTATGCTATTGACAGACAGCCTCAATCTGGCCTCCGAGGCGATGATTCGTGACGTGTGGTTCGAAGTTGCCATGAAGCTCGTGGCTGTCATCCTGGTTGCCGTGCCTGGGATGCTCTCATGCAGAGTGTTCCCCGTGTTCCATGCTGTGAGGACTTCTGTGAAGGCAGCCTGCATTCGTCCAGGCCGCTGTGGCCTGGGATTTCCATGGGAAGTCCAAATCCAAAAACTAGCCTCTAGTCTAGTCTTGCCCTCCATTGTCCTGCGAGCAGCCCACTCGAGCATCGGCATAAACCCCTATGAACTTTGAACTAGTTTTGGAAGAGGGTTCTCACATCGATTGGGGATGTTGCACCAACTGGCGCGCACATCTGTGCGCGTCAGCATTTTGCCGGTGCATGAGTCCGCGTTAACTGAGGTAGCCTCCACCGAGAGCGGCCTCAAGCTGACTTTGTGCTTCACGCTCGCGACGGCCATTGCCGTTGGCATTCTGCAGCCCTACAGACAGCGCCAGGCCAGGATCCAGGGGTGGATTTGAAAGCAAGTTTTAAGTACTACTAACCATAATGCCTATATTGTGTTGTATAGCCCCCTTAACCCGAGTCAGGAGCAATGTTGAAGTTGCCATATGTAGATTTGAGGTTGGCTTTTGCTCTGGGGATATTGGTAGAGTACCGTGTGGCTGTGGAAGCTAGTGGCCTTAGCTTCTCTGGCGTTGCTAGGCCGTAGATACGCTTCAAGCCCTCTCTCAGGTGAACGACCTGCAGTGCTTCTGCTTCATTTGCTCCCTGACATGTCCAAGAGCAGACTGTAGAGCAACGTTTTGAAGAGCTTTCGGAGGTTGTTTTTAATAATATTTCTTATTTCTACAGTTATCCCGTGTAATCCCTATCATAGAACCCCTACGAAGCCATTTTTATACAGGGCTTCCAAAACAAGGGTAGCTTTGGGCTCGAAGAGCTTAGGTCTGGCTGCGGCTTCCGTCGGCTTCGCCGAGGGGTGGGTGGCCCTGGCACGCGGAGCGCTGGCTGCACCGTTCGCCCTGGCGACTTGGGTGGCAAACTGCAAAAACTGGCAAAAACCCTAAACTTACAAGTACTGGTGGCTAGCAGGGAATAAGGGAATACCTTCTGTAGGTCCACTGTAGGGGTTATGTATGGATTTTTCTTCAACAAATGTATTCCCATGTTCCTTTAACCACCACCACTAAGTAACACTTCAGTTGCCGAAATGGTGGGTTTGATATAGTTCAGGAAATAAGGGGCATAGAACCCAGAAGCCGTTATCTCGGTAAAGAGGAGTCTTGGGGGATGGTGTGGCATGGAGGCTTGGAAGGTTTCCTGAGCTCTTCAAGTGGGCCACCTTAGTAGGACATGTGCTGTGAAGTTTTTCCTCCGGCTGCGGAGAAGTCTTCAGCAACAAGCCAAGAAAGCCAAGAACACCCAATTCGGCTCAGGCTGGCGTGCAGGTCTTACGTCCAGGCCAGACTGGCCAGACTTTCTGCAGTTCGCCCATCCTGTCTTGAATATTTCGGCTTGTATTGAAAAGTTTTGCACGGACGAGGGGCTGAGGATTGGGGCAGAGTCGTCTGTGAACTTCTCTCTCACACCCTCCACGAGAGTCGGCACATAAGCTTGTAATTAGGCCTTTTTGTCCAAGTCCTGCATGTAGCCTGCCTTGGGCCTGTTGTTTCCGGGTCCTCGTGTAGATCCTCACGCACCTCTACGAAGCGATACACGTTTTGTCTCGGAGGAAGGGCAAACCCCGCAAAGATCGTACGGACGTTGTAGCCTTTGCTTGGAGAGACTGATGTAACTGTTTAATACGAGACATTTGGATGTGGGCCGAAAGTACAGTGGGCGGGGAAACAACTGAAAGGCGATTGACTAAGCACCGCTGCTCAGATGGCCTCGATGCGCTGGCACTGCGCCTGTTCAAGGCCAGGGACGAAGAAGTGCGGAACTGCTTTCAAGTCAGGTTTCTTCGAGCAGCATACTATGTCCAGGTGTGCAGGTGCGCAGTCTGCACGCAATGCAAAGCTCTGAAGCTTGGTTTCGTGGACTGTGCAGACTTAAAGTCGAAGCAATCACCGACCAAACCATTTACCTCATAGTCCTGCGACCTAGTTGAAGACTTTTTTCTTCATGCTGCAGGAGGTGGAGCATCACTGGCCCGCTTTGGAGCGGGAGGAGTCCGTGGAGCTCTTGGTGTAGAGGCGTGGCGAGGGTTTCTGCTTCAAAGCTAAGGTTTAGCAACTTGGGATGGAGGAGCTAGAGGTCAAAGGGTACAGGATGCAGAACTAGAGCTTGAGGTCTAGTGGGCAAGAATTGGGTTGGGAATTTGACTTGAGGTTTTGTTGGGTTGAGGTTTGGGTTCAGGCCTTTTCAGGATTGAGAGTTTGTGCTTGAGGGTAACGATCTGAGGCCAGATTGAGCGAAACATGATACCTCCATTGGAGGATCATGGGTAGATATATGATATAAGTTATAAGTTATAAGTGGGATTTCAAGTCCCCTAACTAGGTTTTCTTACGTAGACCCACCTTGATTTTAACTTGAGCTATAACTACCCATGAACCCCGTATATTTTGTTTGTGTATTTATTTATCGTTTTATTTATTTATTTCTGTGTTTATTTATTTACATGGGCTTAGTCCGAGACATATGCGCATAGAGACGCCCGCAGTGTTGGAGCTGGGCGTGTTGGAAAGATGTAGGTCAAGTTCCTTTTGGAACAGTGTGTGGCTCAAAATAGGTGTCTTGGGGTATCCTCTTTGCACCTCTGGCGCTTGAAGATATCCCCAAATCTCAGAATCATGGTCCTGCCTGGTGATGCATGACCGGAACGACAACTTTGAAAGGGTACTGGAACCAAGGGTAAACAAGAGCCCCGGCAAATTTGCCAGGACGGTGTTCCAGAGAAGCCATCGGCTGCAACACCGCATTTTGCGGAGGAGACCGGAGCTTCTCAGTTGCAGCTGTAGTCTGTAGTTGTGGTTGATGGTATGTAGGTTCAGGATTTGAGAGTTTGGACAAGTTGTGGTTTCTTTTCTGCAGCAGCCGAGCTGAGATGCAGCATCAGACAGCGGATCGCTTCGGGAGGTTTTCTGATGTATGGACCGTGGATACGTTGGTGCACTTGCTTTCTTGTCAAGGGTTGTGAGCAAATCACGAAGTTTGCGTCGGGCACGCAAAACAGGCTTGGCGCAATGCCCGCCGGTCGCACTCACACTCCAGACATTCGTTGGAGTGACAGGGGAGTGGCCGCTACGACGTAACGACGATCCCTTTGGGCATCTACATGCATGAGGAACCCACTTATCTGACGCGGACTGATAACATTCCCTTGTCAAACAGGTGATAGCTTTGCCTTCAGAAGGCGCCGAGTGCGGTGAAGAGCAGACGCGCAACAACTCGTCTTTCTCAGCTCCCAGCAGAGCTGCTCAGCGTAGTTACGTAGTCTGTGCCAGAGGTTGGTGGTGGGCGACAGAGTGCGGACAAAACCCAAGTCCGGCTTTCTTTGTTTGGGGGCCTTAGGCTGTCTTCTTCTGCAATTTTGGCGCCTGAAGACATCCCGAAAAATCGGAACCATGGTCCGTCTTGGTGATCCAGGCATGGGGAACCGGGATCTTGAGCCACGCTTCTAAAATAGAGGAACGCCGATTTTGGCAAGTGGACATCTAGATGAATCTCAACACATGGCATGATAAGCCACAGCAAGGATGGCTATAACAACTTTGGAAGCAACGACGGCAACACAAGCAGCAGCAACAAATCGCATTGCGACTTTGCTGTTGGTTCGTTGGGAACAAGGGAAGATGATCTCTATGTAATCCCTATGCAACATATTCCCTTGATTCGACTAGCCACCAGTAAGCAACGGTCGCAGTACCGATCTGTACTACCGCCAGAGGAGCCATATCAGCGACAATATACAATATGATACTGTGGCTGTCTGGAGATGTCGGAAGTGCAGTCTGAAGTGGGTATTAACACCAAGTATAAGCATAAAGCCAGAATTTCTGCCAGGACGAGAGGCCTTGGTACGAACAACCGCATTTTGCGGAGAGAAAATCAGGCCGAGCTTCCCATTTACCGTTGCAGTTATTGCTGGCTGACAGGCAGATAGGGCGCTGGAGGTTCAGGATTTGGGGGCTTGGAGACTTGATGGTTTGTTGGCGGCAGCCAAGTTTGTGTGAGACTCATGAGAATGCTAAGATGCTGCTTCGGGTGGTAAGATGTCTTTCTTTCGGGGTGTTGGTGAAAAGGCATTCTAACGAGTTGTGGATGTGTAGGGGAGTGAGGAGGTTCTGTTTTCAAAGACGACAAGCGACGGCTTTGCCTTCAAGAAACACTGTTGGTGGAATGCATCACAGTTCTCTGAACAACCGCAGCGCCAGGTGGATTGTGCTTGAGACTGGAGACAGCTTGCTTTCCACTGTTTCTTTTCGGCTCATTCCGCCAGCTCCGGACTAGGGAGCTCTCAGCATGACATAGTCTGTACTGTGCTATGCCCCGTCAGGGGCATCAGGGCGAACACGAAAAAAGGCATCTACAAATTTAGTAATGTTCGCGTTATTCTGCATACTCCTCGGGGGTTTTAGTGCGTACAGGGGGCAAAGCTGTAAAATGCCGGCCTTGGCCTTTTGTGCTTGGCCTTTTGTGCGTTGGCACTTCTGCTTGCCGGAGAGCGCAAGGAGCGGCACGGGCAAACGTCCGTTGGGATGCAGATGAAGAGTACCCAGGTTTTGTGAAGGATGTAGAAGCTGACGTGCAATCAGAGTTTCAGAGGTTTCAATCCCGTGAGCACCCCAGTGCTGCAGCACCCTAAAGCCTGTGTCATAGGTATTTGAGGATTCCTCATTCGGGGTCAAGTGTTGTCTCGTTAGCGAAGGTCCCCTAAGTCCCCTATGTCGCTCACAGCATCTTTGCTCAGCTGCAGTGCTTGATGCTCGGGCCCATCGTGCGTGCAGTTCACGCATGAACCTTTGTATCATTTCGGCGGAAGTAAGTATTACTACGTACTGCAAACTAAGACATTTGTAGATACCTAAACCCTAAGCCCTAAACCCTAAACCCAAACTAAGTATGTAGATACCTCAGAGCTTGTGCGGCCATGGCCAGCCGGCTTCAGATGGGATGTCCGGCAGGATCTGGAGTAGACAAGCCTGTCACATGCAAGAGCTTTACATATCTTGTCATATTACATTCTACGATCGTTTAGCAGATGAACTTGCATTCTTTGATCTTAGCTGAAGTTGTAGTAAGTTCACAGCTGAGCCTCTACACCCAAAGCCCGAGTTCACAACGAATGCCAGCCGTCGTCATCGGGATGTCCAGCTCGAGTGACAAAGTTGCAACATGCAAATACACGACTCGTTTTAAGCGTCTCTAAAATTTCATGTCTTAACAAAGTACAGCTGTTTATTCAGATCATGGTATGAGATGGAATATCGTGAATATACTCGGGGTTCAATCTATCGAACTATATACTGGGGAATGGAAATCACATGTTTAATGTCAATGTAGCTAGCAGTCTATGCATGAATGTATGATGTGAGTTTCCCTGATCGCAGTAACGTGACCAATAATAATCAGTGTAAAATCATTACATGTTCGGTTCACTTGTTGGAAAGACTGCTAAATGCACTATATTCTTGTCAAATTGAAGTTGGATTTGACCTTAGTTAAGAAACACTCCGCCTAAAGAGGTCCGAGGATTTAGTCTACTCGGTTGATTATCTATGTCGTTATGAAAAGAATATGTACTGCTTCTACACCTAATAAAGTACGCTTTCTTTGAGGTATACCATTATCCCTAGAGATAC